GAAAAATCAACCCACAGGTTTCTGGGCCTTGTTCTGGTATCGGCTCAGCCACGCTCTTCTCATGAGAAACATCCCTGGCCTTTCCTCGGTTGTGCCAAGACTGGCCATGTCTATTGTCCGATACGCCACCTCCATCGACATCCACCCGGCTGCCCAAATCTCGGAAGAAGGAGTGTTAATAGACCATGGAGCCGCGTTGGTGGTCGGCGCGACGGCCATAATCGGGGCCCGGGTTACTCTGTACCACGGGGTTACGCTTGGCAACTCCGGGAAGAAGGTGTGTGCCAAATCGGGCCGGGACAATACTGTAGACTATGTGATTCATTCTTCGCCACGCACCCCAAAATCCGCCAATCCGACGTGTATGCATAGGTGTACATGTACTACTGCTGTAGGCGGAGGGATTGCGCCCAGCCCCCCAATGGGGCTGACGGCCAGAATATGACGGATGGATGTGGGGGCAAAGTATTAGAGAAAAGGTGTGTAGAGTTAGCCTGATGTGTGTATGATTGTTAACCTCTTGACGAAAACGCATGAAGAGTACATAAACTGACTTTGCTTTCCCTCCCCACAGTAAGCGTGATAGAAACTCAACACTTTTCTTGGAACCTTCACACGGACTTTACCCGGAAGGCCCATTAATTAACACTGCACCCTTCCTTCTGGACATTCGCAAAATGAATCGAGAGACCTTTGTTTCCCGCGCTGGGCCGAACTATGCTTTCGGCAAACAACACGCATCCTGCAGGAGAGAACCCCAATATTGACCGCCTTGTTGCTGTCGGCATGAAATGTCTTGTTGAATCGACACGACAGGTTTCCCCGGGAGGGAAAAGACATCCCACCATCGGAGACCGCGTTGTCCTCGGCGCTGGTGCAAAGATTTTGGGAGATATCACCGTCGAGGATGATGTGCTAGTCGGGGCGAACTCGGTCGTCACCAAGTCTGTGCCGAAGCACCACACCGCCGTAGGTGAGCAAACGATTGTAGCTGTAGATGCATCGGGTAAGCGTTCCCCATATATGTATTGGCTGGAGTCCGTGCGCTGTTACTGTCGTTCAGAGTGTCGACGACGAGACTGTAACCAGAGCAGGTGCAGGCTGTTTTGCTATCCTGAGGACCGTATTGTACCACCGCAGTACGGTTGTGCCTTTGCTCAGCAGCGTTCCGTTGCCGACACCAACTCTCTGTACGTTTGGCCTTCGTGTGTTCAACGTGGTGGTTTGTAGTCAATTTTCTGAGACAATCGACAACCACTAACGTATCGACATGTATATGCACTTGTACGTCTCTGCTAATGGTCTGGCGCGTACGCAGGTGTGCCCGCGAGAATACTCTGCCATGGCACCTGTACAGGAAAGGATGTGACGGGAGCGGCGATCTGCGAGCTGCACAGGCGTCTCAACAAGGTCGAAAAGGGTGGCGACGCCGTCGTAGTCCCTCAGAGACGAGAAGACGCGGATGTCGCGGGCGGACAGCATGTGGACAAAATTCAACAGCAGCAGCAGCAGCAGCAGCAGCAGCAGCAGCAGCAGAAGAAGAAGAAGACGTTTGATGCGCCTGGATCCTCGTCGTTGCCATCGACATCGGAGAGCGGTATCCGGCAAATTTCGTACACCCGAAACATCCTCGAGGAGATTGCTGTGAATTGAGTCAAGTTCGTGTGATGTTTCCGTGGTGAATTGAGTCAAGTTGGTGTGATGTTACCGTGGCGAAGGAGGCACGCCATGTTTGTGGTGGTGCTGGTCCCCCGACTATGGATTCCATGTGGTTGGCGGAGAGCGTCTTGGCTGATGCATGTACAGTAGTAAAGGGAGTCGGAGGCGTAGGGGCTGATGCTTCTAGTACAACCCAAAGGGAAATAGGAATTTTTGTTTTGCCGATGAGGATCTGTTCGCTAGCTTTAGACCTACCTGCGTACGTAACAGTGTGCTTTTTTTGCTTTTTGGTGTTGTCAACTTCAGTTAGTTTTGGTGTGCTGGGCCTTGATTTACGTCGAGGATGAATTTGAATTTACTTGTTTTTCATTTTGCGGTGTTGATCAAATGGTTGTGTCGCAATGGTCGTCGTTGTAAACAGTGTTCGGTGCTCGAGGGGGGTTGAAAGATTATTGCCTTTGGCTGAGCACAACTCTACTCGGTGTTAGAGATAAACGGCGGTGAGGGGAATTGAGTTTCGTGGCACGGCCTTCTTGTCAAGCGCCTGGCGATAGTCCTCTTTTGGATTTATGTGATGTTCATTCTAAAGTGATGTTTATTGTTTGTTTATTGGACGATGATTACTTGGTTGGGGGGGACGGCATACATGGATATTACCGTCGTTTGTGCTACAGCTTCAGGACAACATTAGTGTGAGGGTCGCTATATGAGGTCCTTGGTCACCAGAGGCTGGGGAGGCGGTTGTGACTCACCTTAAGAAGTTGATCGAAGTCTCGTGTTGTAAACAACCTGTCGGCTCTCGACCAACCCATCATGACTGCCTTCAGATGTTGATTGTTAAGGATGACCCGATCCGCAGGATATCCGTCGATTGACGTTTACCAGAATCGGTGCACGTTCGCATATGGCGTCCGCAGGATACTGGTTCGAATCTAATTGTTGTGTCACATTTTCCCGTGACCTGGGACATTTTTCATGGACACAATGTGTGTCAGTCCTCAGAGCACCTCTTGGAGTCGATTCTACAATGAATCTGTGACACCTGTATCGAATCACCCGTCGTGGCCCCAATGGGTGCGGAGTTATGAGGGTAAATTCTCAGGGCGAGAGAGTTAAGGAGGACCCGATTCGCAGGGTATCCGTCGATTGACATTTCCCCAGAATCGGTACACCTTCGTAAAGGGGTTTTCACGACTACATACATACATGCACGATAGCATCCACGCTAACCCCTTAGTCTTTAGTACGGAATTGCACCATGTATCGCGATATTAATCCATTTTTTCCGATAAGTGGGTGGGGTCCAATTGTTGAGTGAGTCGAAAAGTAAGAAGAGTCAAATCAACCCATTCCCGCAAGCACGAGTGAAGTGCTTGTTGTGAACCACCTCGTAGAAGTGCTGTACAAAAGAAAGGTAGTACGTACAATAAGTTTATGACGTAGAGGGTTAGCTAGAAGATCAGATGCTGTGGTGCCGATTCGCACACATATAAGTAAGAAGAAGGGTAGATTCGCACACATATAAGTTTTCTCCCAAAAAAGGCATCGGATCGATAGAAAGAACAAGAATTACTACACAGTGAGACTGTAGACCACGTCGTACTATCTACAGAGTTGCGGCCTGCGAATACGAAGCGCCAATTTCAGGTCGAGGCTCAAAGTCTTATTTCCGGAGCAAGCACCAGCACCAAGGTACGTGCTATTTTTTCTTCAACCAAGTTTCTTATAGTTCTGGCTGTCGAATAGAAGTCTTAATGATTTTTCAAAAAATATCATTTTACGTAAGACCACGCGAGACGGTCGCGTGTGCGCAGCCGGGCGCGCCGCAAGTTCACGCTCAACACCTCGCACCCCGAAGTCGATAAAAAATACAAAATACAGGGAGTGCACGTGCGTTTTTCTTATTTTGCACGATAAGCTCCGCCCCCTAGTTTCTTATCTCTTTCTCTGTTGGCGGGAGTTCTCTTATTCGGATGTTGCCTATCTTTGCGTCCGTTTCGAGGTGTGTTTCTTTTCAGCCTGATAGCTGCTCAGCCCCTTTTCCTTAATTTACGTGAAAAGTTGAGGGATTCGTTTCTTCCACACATTTTTGTGAACGGCGGGCCGCAACTGTAGAGCGGTTATTGGTCCTGGCGGGACAACTAAGAAAAACGTCTCCGTAGGAATGCACCATCCCCGGTTCACATGTGTTGGTGAGCCTTCCTCATCTCAGCTGTTCCACCTGTACGGTCCCGCGTCGAGAGTCTGCGGGTCATAGGTAGGTGGGAACGTATCCATGCCTGCCTGTGCTTCGGAAAACCCGGGGATGACAGAACCGCGCTGAGAATTTCTAGCCGAAGGCGAGTGTTCGCGCCACGTGCTTTCTGCGAAAAAAGTCTACTCCTATGTTTAGAAGGAGATCAACTTCATTGTCCCAAAGCCGTTCGATGTTTGCGCATGCTAGCGGTTCCTCATGGTGCTGACTGCAATACATGCACGAGCAGCTACAACCACATATTTCAAGTGGATTCTTGAAACGAACGTGCTCCGCCGTAATGAATTGCGTACCACACGGATACATCCCGGACCGTGCAACCAGATTCTCCCTTCAGCCGACGTTCCATCAGAAACAGACATGGCGTTTACGGTGCCAGGCGCCTCGTCGTCTTCGCGAGAGCTTCGAAAAGGAAAACGAAAAACGCACCCCGCCATGGCAAGCGGGAGATGAAAAGCGCGTTGTCGGCACATCGTGCGCGCACGTCACCAAACACTTGCGTCCGCGCAATGACAGCTCTCTGACCCGGGCCTATGTTCGCTTCACGTGGTGGGTAGAGGGGGCTGGCTCTCTTGATGGGTCGGTCGATAGCCGACAGGTTCTCGAAAAAAGGACGCGGATGTTGATCAAGTTGATCACTTATCAACTACAGATCAACATCTGAGTGCAGTATTGATGGGTCGGTCGAAAACGGGTTGTTATACAATACGAGACGTCGATCAACATCTATCTGAAGGTCAGTCGCACCCGCCTCCCCAACCTCTCATAACCAAGGACCTCATGTGTAGCGGCCCTCACATTACTTTTGTCCTGAAGCTGTCGCACAAAGACGACAGGCAATATCCACATATTCCGTCCCCCCAAACCAACCAATCACGGTCCAAACAACAAACATACACGTACAACAACAAAATATCACACAACACAAAAAGAGGACAATAGCCAGGAACTTGACAAGAAGGACGTTCCACGAAATTCGTTCCCCTCGCCACCGTTTATCTCTAACACCGAGTAGAGTTATGCTCAGTCAAGGCCAAAACTTCCAACCCCCTTCATGCACCGAACACTGTTTACAACGACAACAATCGTTTGATCCAAACCGGTCAGTATTTACCGCAAAATAAATAACAAGTCAATTCAAATTCATCCTCGGCGGTAGGCAAGGCCCAGCTCACCAAAACTGAAGTTGACAACACCAATAAATGTATGAAAGAGCACACAGTTGTACGTACACTGGTAGGTCTATAGCCAACGAATTGATCCTCATCGGCACAACAAAAATTCCTCTTGCTCTTTGGGCTGTTTAAGAAGCATCGATCCCTACGCCTCCGACTGTGCGTACTATACCGCATTATGTCAGCCAAGACCGTCTGCGTCAACCACAAGGAACCCGTAGTCGGGGGACCAGCACCACCACAAACAACGCGTGCCTCCTGCACCACCGTAACGTCACACGAACTTGACTCAATTCACAGCAATCTCCTTGAGGATGTTTTGGCTGTACAAAATTTGCCCGATGCCGCTCTCCGATGTCGGTGGCAACGACGTCGGTACAGGTGCATCGAACTTCTTCTGCTGCTGCTGGTGGTTGTTTTCGCTCGAAGGCGAAGGAACGACCGTGACGTCAGACACTGGCGACGCCAACGACGAAGCTTCCCTCCCCTGCTGCTGCTGCTGCTGCTGCTGGTGTATTGTGTCCTGCTGTCCGCCCGCGACATCCGCTTCTTCTCGTCTCTGAGGGACTACGACGGCGTCGCCACCCTTTTCGACCTTGTTGAGACGCCTGTGCAGCTCGCAGATCGCCGCTCCCGTCACATCCTTTCCTGTACAGGTGCCACGGCAGAGTATTCTCGCGGGCACACCTGTGTACGCGCCAGACCGTTAAAAGCAGACGTAAAAGTACACATGTCGATACGTTGAACACACGAGAAGCGAAAGTACAGAGAGTTGATGTCGGCAACGGAACGCTGCTGAGCAAAGCCACAACCGTACCGCTGCCGTAGAATACGGTCCTCATCACAATAGGTGAGGTAGTCGCGAATGTCCCCTCTCTCACGATAGCATAACGGCCTGCACCTGCTCTGGTTACGCTCTTGTCGACGCTCTACACGATAACAACAGCAACAGCACTGGCGCGCGGACTCCAGCCAATAAATATATGGGGAACACTTACCCGATGCATCTACAGCTACAATCGTTTGCTCACCTACGGCGGTGTGGTGCTTCGGCACAGACTTGGTGACGACCGAGTTCGCCCCGACTAGCACGTCATCCTCGATGGTGATGTCTCCCAAAATCTTTGCACCAGCGCCGAGGACAACGCGGTCTCCGATGGTGGGATGTCTTTTCCCTCCCGGGGAAACCTGCCGTGTCGATTCAATAGGACATTTCGTGCCGACAGCAACAAGGCGGTCAATATTGGGGTTCTCTCCTGTAGCATGGGTGTTGTTTGCCGAAAGCATAGTTCGGCCCAGCGCGGGAAACAAAGGTCTCTCGTGTCATTTTGCGAATGTCCAGAAGGAAGGGTGCAGTGTCCATGGGCCTTCCGGGTAAATCCGTGTGAAGGTTCCAAGAAAAGTGTTGAGTTTCTATCACGCTTACTTATGGGGAGGGAAAGCAAAGTCAGTTTATGTACTCTTCATGCGTTTTCGTCAAGAGGTTAACAATCATACACACAGCCGGCTAACTCTACACACCTTTTCTCTAATACTTTGCCCCCACATCCCATCCGTCATATTCTGGCCGTCAGCCCCATTGGGGGGCTGGGGGCAATCCCTCCGCCTACAGCAGTAGTACATGTACACCTATGCATACACGCCGGATTGGGGGATATTGGGGTGTGTGGCGAAGAATGAATCACATAGTCTACAGTATTGTCCCGGCCCGATTTGGCACACACCTTCTTCCCGGAGTTGCCAAGCGTAACCCCGTGGTACAGAGTAACCCGGGCCCCGATTATGGCCGTCGCGCCGACCACCAGCGCGGCTCCATGGTCTATTAACACTCCTTCTTCCGAGATTTTGGCAGCCGGGTGGATGTCGATGGAGGTGGCGTATCGGACAATAGACATGGCCAGCCTTGGCACAACCGAGGAAAGGCCAGGGATGTTTCTCATGAGAAGAGCGTGGCTGAGCCGATACCAGAACAAGGCCCAGAAACCTGTGGGTTGATTTTTCAAGGGGCGGGGGGCGGGGGGTATGATGGAATCAGACACCACCAACATGTACTGCTGTAGTCTAGTGTACGACAGAGTTGATTCGGATCCTTGAGAGGGTCATCGCAATCCTGTCGATGACAGAGTCTAGCAGACAGCAGGCGACAGACGTAGGCACGCATACCGCGCAATATCATCGCTGTGCCCAACACGCACACGCCCGACCGCGTTGTGATATGAATACAGTAGTCTCCTAGCAAATGCTGGATGCTGAATGACATGCTCTCCGCGACACACACCACAGGCCGCGTGATGTGGATATTCTCCTACACAGAAAATGCTGGTGACATGTTCTCCACATTCACGATATTCCTTGCTTGGTCCTGACGGACGAAACGACCGGATTTTTGCTACCACCACTCTAAACTGTGAGCGTTTGTTTATCGATACAGAGCGCCGACGGGGATTGCTTCACGTGCGTCTCATGGTCAGCATATATATCGAAAACTACTGCTTGTAGCGTGTAATGCTGAATGTCTCATGCTGTGTTTTCTGCGAAACTCATCAACGGTCCGTCTACAAGTGTACAGCAGTCTAGATTGCTGTGTCTGGTGTTTTCGCTCTCTTGCTCTCTTGTATTCAAGTCAATACGGGCGAGAGAAACCACCCCATCCGCTGTCACAAGCAGGATCAGCTAACTCGGGCCAGCACCGGAAGCTATTGTTGTGTTCGGCACCGAGCCACTACTGCTGTAACGGTGCAACAAAGAGGAGTGCAGATGCCAACCAAGCGCTGCCGACATGATACAACGCCGCACATTCCGATCACTCGTGCACACCTTCACAGCAGCTAGGGACAGCAAAGGCCGACTACTGGGAGACTCACCGGGATAAGCGTAGAGCACTTCTAGCTTGCTTTGCAGGGCAGGGTCCAGCGAGATGATGCGTGCGTCGTTCAAGACCGCGCGATAGCAGCTCCCAAGGTTGAGCAGCAGAGGTGCCAAGACGATCGCGGCGGCTTTCAGCAGAAACATGTCCATCGTGGCGCTGTACACTGGGCTTTGTTGAGAATAGGTTAGATCTCTGGTGTTGTAGGTGGAGAGAAGCAGAGGAGATCAGCGAAAGAGGAGCCTGGGGGTGTGGTTGTCTTGTGCGAGCCTGGTGCAGACGTGCAGCAGCTGGAGCAGCACAATCATCATCAATCGTACGCGGAGCAATTTCCCCATGCCAATAGCCCCGCGTCAATCACCCGTCGGCCCGATTTTGGAAACTTCCCGATCAGCCGATGTCGGTATGCTACGTTGTACAAAATTAATGACAGTCCCGCCAATCCAAAAGAAGGTGTGTTGCGAATGAGAAACCGTCGAATGTTCTCGAAAACAACGACGCGAACCGACCAGTACTGCTGTGGTACAGAGATGAGCGGCTGTCTTCCGCCACATCGACGATATAGATCACCTTACGGAACCAAGCTCTTCTTGTTGTTTTGGCATTTTTGGGCGGAACAGTTGGCTAGGCGCCTCTTCCAACGGCATCTGTGCTGTTAGGACGCACGGGCAGATAAAAAGAACATACAATATGTACGCGTGCGGTCCTTCTTTCTTTCTGTGCTCATCCTCTCTCGCAAACGAGGCAGCAGAAGCATGCAAGCTGCGCTGCGAGTGTTTCTACTAATATTTCATGTTGTGCGTCTCAGTGTGTGTGTATTCTTGACCGTGTATACATGTAGAGTAACAGCGATATGTATGATGCCTCTATTGCTGTTGCACGTGCGTGAGAACAGATACTGCTGTAGTCTACAAGGGCCTTCGGATCTGTAGGTTGAGTTAGAAGTACCCATGATGACGAGCGATCTGCTGTCTGCAATCTGTAATCTGCATTGGACCGTGCGATGCGTGCGACAGGCGGCCCCAGGGCATGACCGATAACAATAGCGCGACAGAGAGAACCGGACGGGGGTGGGCAGAGTCCATCCCTGAGATCCCCGAACAGATGGTGCACTGCCGGCCCTTGTCACACTGGTTTTCGGGAGAAGAGATTTTAGCTGTAAGGTTTCCGCCCCCTTCTTGGCGCGTTGGACTGAAAACCCTCGTGGAGTGGAGTGCGGCAAGCGTGCATGAAGTTTGATGACCTCTGGGTAAAATAGGGTGGTTTTGCGTATCGGTTGGTGTGGCACCGAGGAGACAACCGAATTTTGAAACCAACTGGAGATCGCCAACTCCAAAACCCAGCGAAATAACGGAAGTGTGGGCAATAACTGGGGTAAAAAAACTGGGGCCAAAATCAACACATTAGTTTGAGAACTTACGCTACAGAGACTAAAGCTGTACCACGCATCTGTCATTTTCGAGAACCCTCTTGGCTGTGGGGTAATCGACTACTCGAAAGCGGGCGAGAGGGTGAACTGTCATTCACACGTTTACGGTACCGTACATTGATTGGTATGTAGCGTCTACATGCACATGAAAAACTTAAGGCCCTTCTTCACAAGAGTTGTGCACAAGGAAGACGGGAAAATAATATATCCGTTGTGTGCGCGAAATTAATAGTCATATTCCGAGTTTTCAGCCTACCGTGGTAGGTTCTAAGGGGTCTCCCCTGTGGTCCGTTTCAGTATTGACCTGTACATGGTCCTTGCATCGGCGTGACATTGAAAATCCGATTCTGTTGCACATCAGCGCTCGTGGGAAAAAACACCCGTCTCCACAAAATTGTACACAGGTAGTGACGTCTGCTCGAACCGTCATCAACATCACCGCGAGCGACTACTACTACTGAGTACGCAATACAGCAGTATACGCACACAGCCTGGGACCCAGCGCCTTAAGCTCAACGTCGTTCGAAAAACGAGCGGGCAAGGACCTTACCAAACGAATGGGCACACAAGACGAAAAAGAAAGAATGGTGCACCCACTATCGGTCCAATTTCTACCACAAGGGTAAGCTCTAAAGTAATGATACCCACAACGAGCGGAAAGTGATAACAAACAACATGCTCTGCACGAAACGCATCGGTAGGGACCGGAGCCATGAAGCCTAGAGCCGCCACCCCTGTCGTCCCGCGAGCTCGCAGCTCAAAAACAACTCCCGAGCCGTGGCAATGCTTGCTATACGCATCAAATGCTCAATCCGATCAAACACACGAAGGTGCCACATCACATAATCTCGATTCGATACAACGCACGGAAGGCGCTGCATCAAATGTACTCGATTCGATCAAACGCACGAAGGTGCCGCAGGGCGACCTCGTCCTCGGTCTCCCCCTTCCTGCGGCTACTACTCCCCCTGCCACCGCCAACGCTGCGGCTACCCCGGGAACCGCCTCTTCGAGCGCCCCCCCCTCGGTCCGCCACACCGCCCCTTGACCGCAGGCGCTCCCCCCCATCCCCGTACCTCTCCGCATCCAAGTCCTCGCGGACTCGACTCGAGCTCGTCCTCCTCCCCGCCGTCGCACCACCGCCGTCGCCGCGCCGGCGACGCTTGTTCTCCCGCTTTTCCTGGGCGGCTTCGGCCTTCACCTTCTCGTCGTGCACGGCCTTGAACGCGGACCGCGCCGTCTCGGAGGTGACGGCGATGCCAGACGTCTGCAGCAGGGCGGCCCGCTGCGCCTCCGCCAACACCGCCAGCCGTCTTCTCCAACCGGCACCGTTGCCGATGCCGCCGGAGCTGATACCGCCGTTCGCGTTGCTGGCGCCCGATTTGTTGCCGTTGGCGCTCGAGCTGCCCAGGCTTCCTACGCTGGCGTCCACGCGTTCTCGACTGGTCCTCTGCTGATCCGAAAAAACGGACCCCCCTCGGTAGTCCTGAGCCCCTCTTCCCCCGACCCGCCGCGCGTGTTCCCGGATGAACTGAGGCGGAACATGGACGGGATCGGGAGTGAGGAGGCGTTGAAATCGTCATACGCAGCGTTGTCGTACAACAGTCTGCATGGTGTCGCTTCAAGGATGGGACGGTGCGCCTATGTAGGCTAGCATTACGAAGTAGCGTCCCCCCAGGTGAGGGAATGAGCGAGCACTGCGTGCACCGTTAACACTCACGAAAATAGTGGCCTTCGCAATCCCTCTCGAGACGTGAGCGAGCAAGGCAGCATCAAGTACAATTCGACCTGGTGCTTCCCAACAGAAGAGAACACACTCGTAGTGATAGTGCAAAATTCCGTCGTACGAACCGGGACAACACACCACATGTCGGGCAAAGGGTGTTTGTGTGTGTGGGGGGGTACTCATTGTCGTGCATGCCGTAGTCGTTAGGCCATTGACCTCGCATCCCTACAAAGCCGGGACGGAGCACGCCGGGTTCTCACCGGACCAGGCTCTCACATCACCAAGCGCGAAGCGCCGTGAGGTATTCGGCGAGTCGCATGAAGGGTGCGCTGCATCCTGCTAAGGGTGCTCGGCATCTTGTGCTTCCTTGCGTACGGATGACAGCTGCGTATGACTTAATTTATTTTCTGGTGCTTTCACTTTCAGAGGCAGTTGTAAGCACTGTGAAACTGCCTCGAGGATGCTTTACCATTTTAACACAACGTGGTGCGATTATCCCCCTTGCGCGGAGTGAGGGTTCTCCACCCCGCACAACATGATCTACTCGACCACCATTATGGTTACCGCCAAAAAAAAACAAGAGGAAAAAAAAAAAAACGGTAACCTGGTTGCCGAGTTCACGAAGTGAATTGGCTTGTTTTACAACGTCGTTGCCAAGCGACGAAAACCAAACCCCGATGGCAAACACCGAGGGGGGAGCACCGGGGGGGGGAAGGGCAAAGGGTGGGGGGGGGTTAAGCGCGCAGGGGTGGGGCACCCCGATGGTTATCCCCAGCCTTGATATCACAAAATCTCACGAGTTGAGCCTAGTTGAGAAGCACGATCACTAACGGCACTGCCGGCCTTAGGTGGCGACCCCGACCTACGCGTCCATCCCATCTACCGTGAATCTCCAATGCTTGCCGTTTCAAAGAACGCGCGCGAGACAAGCTAGAAATCCTAATACATGCGCACAGAGTCCCAAAACATTGAGAAACAGGAACACACCGATGGTGAGCCCCCATGCCCGGGCGGGGGGGGGCTTGCCTACCAAACTCCCCAGAGCTGGGCCGACACAAATAGCACGGCATCCCACCTTGTCGTAATCCCCGTCCTTGCGCCTCTTGAGGGTGTGCTCGACGTGGGCACGGTAGTCGTGCCCGCACTTGGCGCAGCGCGTGAGGCTGTGCTGCTGGCACGGGAAGAGCCGCAGGAGAGGGCTCGAGAATGGTACCCGCAGCCAGAGTTGTCCGTGCGAGTCTGCACGCAACACGGCCACGACGACGTCGAACAACATCGGGGAAAGAGAAATAAGTGCTGTCGGTGTTTAGGAGGCGGGGGTACTCCACGACAGATACACCCGTCTTGTGGACCTTCGTACCGAGGGTGGGGGTGGGGCACGGAACGGTTGCACCCGCATACAAACCTAGTGCTCGATAGTAGGCCTTAGAAAAAAGAGTGCAGAAGGTGAGAAAAACTGTTACCGGTGGGACAATCCAGGAACTGAGAAAGTGTGGCCTAGCCTCCACATCACGGCAGCATGTCCAGTGAGAGTAGGTGAGACCACCCAACACGTTTTTACCGAAAAACACGAGGAGGAATGAGTCTGCACGAGGATTAAGTTGTGCAGTAGGGATCGGGGGGTTGAACGGTGCTCACGACTTTTAGCGGCGAACCGGCAATACGGGCACCATGCCGGAAACGTTGTAAAACAAAAGTGGAGAACCAGCCCGAAGAAAAACACAGAATTGTGCCGCGTGGGCGAGAGGGTATACGTGCCCGGTAGCTCAATGGATACACCAAATTGCGCATTTTGCGGGTCAGTTGGGGTGTGAGTTGCTCCGACAGAAAGCGCCCATTTCTTCGTTTTCCTCTTCTTTTCGCGCCGGTAGGGCCCCTAGCCCTACCTCTAATCCAATGCTCAAACCACCAAATGTCCGAGTGGAGGTTTTGCCCACAGCTGTACTGACTGAAAAAATGGGAAAATCAACGGGAAAAATCTCCCCACACCGTCTTCGGGCTTCTGTACCCTTTTCTTGTTAATAGTGTGCGTGTTCTGGAGATCTTCTGATGGCGCTAGCATTTTTGTGACCACGGACCGAGTCTTTGCAAGATTTTGGGATTAGCAACTGACACGAGTTTAATGTGAAGACAACAACAACAACAACAACAACAACACCCGGATTCTTGGTTTGGTCCACAGAATTAAGTTTTCTCGGCTCACACCGATCCCACAGCACCCAATCACAAACAGGTTTCGAGCACATCGATATTTAGACGTGGTTCGTACGGCCTTCAAGGTTTCGTGGCGATCCGGCCATCACGGAGGAAGGACGGATGTCTTAGGTGGATTTCGTCCGGGAGGGGGAGAATACGAGAATACCAATCGCCCAAAACAAAAAAAAAGGAAAATTCTCGTTGACCAAAATAATCGGGCGTGAATACCGGATGGCCGGAAAACCCGACTGGTACCTGCTAAAACGGGTTCCGCGTGACACTGCTTGTATGGACACACAAGTGTATACCAAAGACTCCGCGGCTTCCCCCTGCCGCCCCTTTCGACTGTGTTAACATCCCGTTTCAATCACTCCGCCTCGAAAGAGTGCATGGTTCAAAGAGCATCAGGCTACAGCAGATATCGCCAGTGTTTAAGATACGTTAAATGAGGGTCGAGGCTCAATCCGTTACTTCGTCACCACCGTCAAGCCAAGCCTTCTTGTAGGAACAATATACTCCTGTAGTGTAGGATCCACGGCTGAGGCGTGTTTCTTACTCGTTTTTCTTTCTGGTTGCCAAAATCTGAGCCTTAGTTTACTAAAGGCTTGTTTTTTAATCGCGGGCGCTAACTGCGTTGAAAGGCGCCAAGGTCAAGGTCCGACTTTGCGACCGACCGACGTGTTCGCTCTCACCTTCCCATAAGGTTTGATCGGCGACGGAATCCAAATGCCTGGTGCACTCGCAGAACCGTGCGGCAGACGCAACGTTCCAAACGAACAACCGGCAAGGCTCGGCATCCATGCGATGCCCCGGCACCGGCCATTGTGGTCTGGAGTGAGCAGGGCGACGCAGGGCCACGATCATGAACATTACTTATGACGGCGTGCATGTATGCGGGACAGAGATGAAGCCATCCAACGCTTGATCCGGATCGACGGAGGGCGATTCGGACTTGTCCCACCGGTCAGGCCAGGACCTGTACACAACTCCGCCAGAAATTTCCCCAACCTCTCAACCGATCCTTGGCCTCGTGGGTGATCTGCGGCACCGACCATACTCATGTCTGCATGAAAACATTTATATACACAGCAGCAGATGCTTCACTACCGAATATTCCTCCGCTCCGAACACTGAACATCCAACGCAACAATGCACCCCCCCGAGGTTTTGGTTGTTCAAGTTGACAGACACAGCAGTACTTGTTCAAGTTGCGGGCACATCTCCAGCCACACAAAGCGTTACTCTACCACGCTGATCAAGAGCACGCGCAACCGAGGGTTAGGCGGTACGAAAGCGCCCCAACTCCCTCCACTGCTGTTGCTGCTGATCGGTCGGATGGGTCATTCATGGTACTGTGCAACCTACATCAAGAGCACCTTGGGTAGCTCCAGCGCTTGGACTTCTTGGCCGAGCCATTGCAACACAAGAGAAGAAGGACGATCAAGCCGAGGACAGGCTTAAAACAACGCAGCAGAACCATTTCACTCCTCTCCGCGCTCAATGCTCACAACCTGCAAAGCTGCTGTGCGCCGGCAGTCGGAAGAAGCGGCGCAATCGTTCTCCTCTCTGCTCTCTGCTCTGCGCTCCCCTCCCCCGACACGGGGGTTCCGCAGGTTGAGAGTGTTGGTGGATCGGTTGAACAAGTATGTTGCGGAGTCTGCCGGTGTGTTGTGGCAGAGCTCACACCTTGCTTGCACAGCAGTGTCAGTGCGGAAGACGGCAAACAACTTCCAGGTGTGTGGTGATTATCCGAATGCCGGTGGTAGATACTGTGCTGCACCTGTAAATCATTTGAACGGGATGCCTGAACGAAATGCACCACACACACCCGAAGGTGGAACTCTAGACTACAGCAGTAGATGCCAAGGGCTCTGCGTGTCAAGCCTCCAGCGGGTGAGGCAATATGACATGCCCGAGAAGGGTCGTGTATTGGGTGGCATATGTTGCGCTCCTATTCCGTACAATGCATCGCGCATGCGGGGTACTTTGTGGGGTACTTTGTGTTTGAATCTCCTCAGGTGGGCAACATGCTGCGAAATTCATACTTTCTTTGAAGTATAACAACGTGCGGAGATTGATGCTGCTCTGGCGACTTTTCTCTGCGATTTCAGATTTCCATGAAAGGATTGTCTTACCCCGTTCCTAAAAAAGGGATCAGGGAAAGGAAACTCGGTTGGATATTGCCTGATTGGCCAACCACAGAATATATTTCCTCGATACAAAATCGCTCCCCCCAGGTTCCTCCTTTGGGGTGCTACAGTCTTGGCCGCGGTATAGCTACAAGATTTGGTCGACGTGCCGTGGCCTCTGTTGTCTGGTGGTTCCTTTGGGCGGGATGCAGGTTGACGGAGGGCGGGTGCTTTCCAACGCGCCACTGCGTAAGACCAATCACAAAGTGACCTCCCCGGGCAGTGCGGCCACGCAGGCTGCTCCAAGCAGCCGAGCTTTGGCGCGGCGGGCAGCCGTAATAAAGAGTTCTACGCGAAGCATGCAACGGACGTTGCGGTTCGCGTGGAATTGGAGCGGACTCGGGTCAGTCAGCCTATCAGGAAGAAACGATCTCGGCCTGCACCGTCGTTAGACGCCGCCGAGGAGGCGGCTATGGGCCAAGGGTCTGGAGAACAGCACCCGAATGGTCAGGCGGGCAAGGTTGATGCTGCGCCCATGGAGGCAAGGAGTGATTCTCAACCTCTCACCCGGAGACAAGCCCAGAGAGAGACCGCTGAAGATAGGGCGGCTCGTCGAACGCCTAGCCAAGGTACACAAGCACGTTGTCTCAAGGTTGCTGTGAAGATGGAGAGTGCCGCGCATCCCGTAGAGGCTGTACAGATGGCCAACGGAACGCCGAGGCCTGTGCCGCCGATGAGGAAGCCCACGTGGAACCCCGCGAGGAGGCAACAAGAGGTAAGAGATGCCTCGTGATCGGGCGAAGGCGGTGTTCGTAGCTCCCTGTCGTTTTCTACAAAAAAGTTGTTTCGTGGAGCTGTTGAACTGCCTCAGTCTTGTCATTGCTGGTGCCGCCGCCGCCTGCCGCCGCCGCCTCCCTACTACACAGCGTGAAATGTCGCGCGCGCAAATCCTTCAAATGAATATCGCAAAGGATCAAAATCGCTCCTCGACAGCGAAAGGAAGACCCTCAAACGGGTCGATTGCGGGTCACTCGTGGAACCTAATCGAGTCTCGATTCTTCCTCGAAGGGCTTGTTCTTGTGGTCGTATTCTCTATTTCCCCCCCTGTTCTCGCTACATCGAAGAAGGGCAATCTCTTGTTCTCCAATATGGCATAGTGGAAGATTGCGATAGAAGAAAATAAGAGTTTCGTCAAGAAACGGAAGAGAAGGGAAAAACAAAAACAAGAGACGGAAGATGAAAAGCGAAGGCGAAGATTGTTGTGAAGAAGGTCATCTGGCTCGAAACTCATGCTCTCTTCTCCGTCCTGTGGTGCTCAGATGCCCAACGAACCATGATGCTCTCTCTCTCTCTCTCTCTCTCTCTCTCTCTACTCCGATTCAGGCGAAGAACTTGCAACGACGTCTTAAGAAAGCAGAGAAAGAGGGCGTTATCTTGACGCGAGCCAATCGCGTGGACCCAAACTTCCGACGACGGGCGGCACCGGGGAAAGGGAAGGGCGCTATCGAAGCGGTCCGGAAGTATATGGCGAACCCGGAGAATAGGGAGGAGGTTAACCTCCGTGCTCAAGAGAAAAGGAAGGCCTTATCCAAAGCGGAGCTGGAAGCCCTGAGAGAGAGGAAACGCCTGAGCTTAATTAGACTCAGGGAGAGGAAGAAAGACGCGAGCAAGCAGGGTGCTCACCTGTACGCGAGTTGGATACCCGTGTACGAGAAAGAAATGCTGAGGTACCACTAGACAAGCATTCCCAAGATCAAGGCGACGGTAGACGCGTTCAACCGGGAGGGGTTTCATGTGATTCGGAAGGCCTTGACTCAATCAGACCTACGAGCCGTCCTTTCTGACGTTACAGAAACCACCCGGCGCGCAAGCGAGAGCTCGAGCTGGGCCAACATGTTTTCCCACATGGACAAGCAGGGGCGCCTCAGGACGAGCAATGACCGGCAGATGACAATGATGGACGATCATGGTGCCGCAGCAGCTGTTTGCCAGAATCTCGTTTCGGAGAACCTCGGAAGCGGGGGGCGATTCCAGATGGAAGTGCGCGGCGTAACTCTCATGAGCACGCTGGCTGAAAACGACCAGCCCGATCATACCGATTACGGCGTGGACAACGCTGGCGACTGGGGGGTTGGCTTCCCTGTCAGCGGGATCGTTTGCTTCGAGGAAGGGAGCACATTTTCGACGGTTGTGGGTTCGCTGGATGACAAGAAGTTCGAGAAGAGAGTGGAGATTGATCTCCACCTCGGAGATGTCGTGCTTTTTCACGGGGCGAAAGTTCACCGGGGGGCTAGATGCCCCACTGGCAACAAGAGTCTGCACTTCAATGCCGCATGTAGATGTTTCAAAGCACCCGAAAACAAGACCTATCCGGTCGACGTACCACGAGTAAGTTGAAGACTTGTAGCGTTGTCGCCTGGCGATTTGGTTGAAAATTGACGTTCACGTGAAAATGCGTTCCACTTGAAGATGGAAGCTTGGAGCTCTCCCGAGGCTTCATGAGCGGAGGGGATGAGAAAAACTTGGGGTTGCCCCGTTTTGTTGCTGTAAGCTACAGCAGTAGATGCGGAGAGCGCAGGACCCAAATGGTTCAGATTTGTACGAGTAAAAACGACGACTGACTGCATCGCTGTCCAGTTTGAGTTTGGAACTGCAATGAAGTGCCGCCACAGAGGCTGCTCCAAACGGGCAACCTTTGGCGCGCGGGGCAGCCGTAAGAGAGAGTTCTGCGCGCCACATGGACCAAGCGTTCTTGTCTTGAATGGTGCTCGTTCCGCGGTGTTTCTCTGCTCTTGCGCGCTTAAATGATCGATGTGGGTACACATGAGAGAGGATATTCTGGTTCATGATTGTTCCCTGTAGTGTAGTGGCAGGTACCTGCGGCGGCGGCGTGTGGCCGCCGTGATGAGCGGTGCCGTCTCGAGGCAGAGTCTGTGGGCGTCCTTGTGAAGTCCCAAAATTCTCAATCACTCTGTCAGGCAGGTATTCACTTCCAAAGCAACACCCGCATCAAACTAGGGCCGACGCATTGACATTGCGCATGTTCGACCCGTGGTCCTCTCGTGAATATCAACTAATATCACGTTCACCACTCGTTCAAGATCTTGGCGCGGTTCTTGGTCCCAAGATTCGTTGTCTCTTGCTCAGTCCGGCACCAGGCTTCCACATATCGTTCGGGTTGGCAGAGACAAACGATTCGTACCTGTCGATCCCTCCACCTGTCCCGTGTCGATATCGCCAGTGGCACGCGGGTCGCCTTACAATCTCTCAAGCATACTGGGCCACACGAAGGCCCCAAGACCTGCATCTCTTGTAACCATGGAGCATTGGAAAGTGCGACTTTTATGCGTACTTGGAGCATCACAAGCACATCAAAGAACATGCTGATCACCATTGTCGTCATACAGGAAGCTTGGAACCTGTTACGGGTGTTTAGACCTCGAAACTCGCGGGTTTAACGGCGTCAATGGTATTGACAAATATTCTACAACTATCTGTTCTTGATAACCGTTTCTCTCGGTAAAGCTCAACGTACATTCGTCCCAGACTTACAGAAGGCGGGTATGGTTTCGACAAACTGGTATCGCCCCCGACCCCTCCTCCTTTGACCAGCAAGCGTAGCACAAAACACTATTATCGTTCCACCAAAGCAAACAGCAGTTAGTTGTCACCAGAAACTGCTGATCCACCGAGAACGAATGGATACACATCCTGCTCGTTCGTAGGCTACCTCACCCCGAACGCCAGACGTGGACACAATGATCCCCGCACCAACCCGATGCTGTAGACGGGCACCGCTGAACCCGATTGTATATCACAACTCGGGCAGACAGATCATGTTCGGCGCAATCGCGCTTGCCCCAAGTCAGATGCCAGTGCTAGGCTACAAAGAACGGAATACTTGTCAAGCTTTCTTTCCTGTAATCTACATACTGGATGTCTCTCACACGATCTCCGTCGGCCATTTCTCGTCCGACAAACGGGCACTAGGTTATTGTCTGTCGACCTGAGTTGTCCATTCACCTCCCCGTCAACCCCGTACCCGATCTCTTCGAACTTGTTACTCTGGAGTCTGGAGATTCTATTCGTCCACAAGGTTTGGCCCCCATCGCATGGCGACGCCACAGGTGCACCATGGAGATGCCACAGGCGCAGCAGCAGGGACGAACCCGCTCCAACCGCTTGCTGTTTCTGACCACCCTGATCATGAAAACGTGGCCTGCACGCAGCTAAACATACCCAGGTTGAAATCACCGAGGCAAGCGAACAACACGGCGACGTTTCGTCCTTGAGTCCTCCGCCTATTTATGAACATAAAACCAACCCAGACACTAGGCAAGCCAGATGTGCCTCCTTGTCCTCGACGAGATTTCCTCCAGAAACGGCGGGTGTTTCAGGTTTCACTTCGAAGAAAAATAAAAACAATCAGAGGAGGTACAGTCGACACCCCTCTGTGCGCGCACATCAATTCCGACAAGGGTCTCGGTCAGCTTTCCGCTGCAAAAGCGCCGTATCCTGCGGAGATTCAAGCGCCTCGATCCCCCCCTGAGGTGACAGCACCAAGCCTACCTCTTCCCCTTGACCGGGGTCCAGTGGTTTGACTACCTCCTTCATTTGTCTCGCTTCCAGAGAGGGTGGCGACGGTGGCAACGTGATTGGAAGCCACTGACATTTCATCGCTGCGGCTGCTCCGTGGTTGGAGATCACGCTGTCAGTCTTCTCGCTGCCGATGGCTGGAGGAGGAGGAACAGGTACGGTTCCGGTGGATACATTCGCCGGGTTCAATACCTCCCCGGCTTCGTCTGGGTTTCCATCGGAACGGGTATTCATGCCGTTGGTTGCATCGTCGCCGTCGTCATCCCCGCTACCCTGTAGACTGCCTTCTGCCGTTTCGCCTTGTCGTTGGTCGTTTCTACCACCGCCACCATCACTATTGCCTTTGTGAGCATCACAACCGTTGCCGTGGCCGTGGCCGTCTTTACCAACGCAAACCCCAGTATCGCCGTCTGTTTCGGCCATAGAGGTCCCCATCGCCTCAGTAGCGCTGCTGTGCTTCGTTGAGGGTCCTTCCGTGTTTTCTTCCGGTGGACAGCTCTCTGCTTCCCGTTCTGACTCTTGCACACAGTGGTGTTGCGCTTGGCCGTCGTCCTCCACGCGCTCACCCATGGCGGGGTTGTCTGCTGGGACTTCACTCTGTTGTTGATGCTGCTGTTGGTGTGAAATCGAATTGGTCCCTGTATCCGGCGTCACTGCGGCGGGTGCGATGGCGGAGACACCTTCAGAGGAATCACAACGGGTGGCCGAAGTTTCATCCTCTTGCCTAGACTCCCCCCCGTCCACCTCTTGGTCCTTAGCACTGCACGGATAAGTGCGCCTCTTCTGTTTCCCGTCCTTCTCTGGCTTCAAGTCGTCCGAAGACAGCTCGGAAGGACCGGGAATATGCTTGCCTTTATCGTTCGCTTTATCCCCTTCTGTGCCTGACTCCGCCTTTTCCCCTTTCCAAAGCGAGCTTGGCTGCTCTCCTTCATCTACTGCTGCATCTTGTTCTTGGTAGCTGCCGTCATCAGAAAGGTCGCGCAAGTCATCCAGCTCCTCATCATCGTCGGCGTCTTCGTTGTCGTCACTGCGCTTGGCATCCACACCATCGTCGTCGCTGTCGTTGCTGTTGTTGTCGTCATCGCTGCTGTCACCAGTCTGCAAAACGTGGAAAATCACAAGTCGTGGGGCCCCCGTCAAGAAGAAATGTTCAGCGGGTCATTCCAACTAAGACAGCAGCACGATCCTGCGACGCATACAAAACGGGGCGCGAAGTGCCGGCAAATAGCCTCTAGCAACACCCAACTAACCCGCACGCGAAACGACCAACTTGCATTTCCTTGTTGGGTTTGAGGTCGGTAGCAAGTAAGAAGAACTGAGCTTCTAAAAAAACTGAATAAAACCGGCGAATATCCGTCCCAACGGAAATTTAAGAACTGGTCCGAATGTGGGGGTCTCGAATTTTTCATAGGGACAGCTCATCCGGCACATCAGCGCCACAAGCAGAAGGAAGGCAAGGGGAAGGCCGCGACTCGGAGAAAAGCCATTTTGTGAGCTATCGACGTGTTCCGTCAATCTTTCAGCGATACTGCCGACATTGGGAGCACGCGTGATCGAGATAAACCATCCCAGCATGCAAACTCTAAGAGTCCTACAAGAGAGCAAACCATGGACGGTATTGGCGTAATAGGTAAGGGTTTTATAGGCTCTGCAAAGTACCGGCTTCGATTGGCAAGGTTACACGTTCGAGGACCAACAGACTGCAAACCACACGAGTTATGCCCACGCCTCTAACAAAAGTCGTGTTCGCAACCCCACGGAAAAAACGATTTGTCATTTGTTTCCACTCGTACCGTAGCTCTCGCAGAGTGTGCAAGCCCGTCGGGCATCATCAAGAGCTCTTGCCGAGAAATGCTGAGCTGTTCCAGAGCCTGCTACGACATACCGGACACAGCGTATCAGCTTCAAGATCTTGTTCGAGTAACACACTGCTTGATACATTTGTGCAATATCCCCGGGATTCTCATATCCCATTCAGACCACCAGCGCCCCCACCAGCGCCCCCACCTGCGCCTGCGCGTGTTCAGCTTGTCTCAGCAACTCGCCGAAGCCCACCAACCTTTCGGGAACGGGAGGGGGTGCGACACCGCCGTCCTCTCCTCCCTTGCTGCCCTGCGCGCGGAGGAAGAGGGTAAAGCAAGCAACGGACCGCATCCAAGCATGCATTGTGAAGCGATGATCGCGATTTGCCCGTGCAACAGTACCTGAACTTGCATGCGTCGTAGTTTGCCACATCCACCACCTCCAGCCGCTAGAAGAATCGAATCGACTACACTACCAGCAACGCGCAAAGTCATTTCTCGTTCGTCTCTTGGCTACATCCGTGTAATCCGTCGGTACCAACAAATTGCGATTGTCGCAAGAGGCTGGTTGTGATAGGGAGAGCATGGCAGCGAAAACCTTCTTGGGCAGCCTTCTGCTCGAAAGTCCGAACCAATAGTTGCAAGGCAAGCCATGGCTCGCAGAGCCCGTGGTTATTTAGCGAGGCTAGCGGCACAGAAGTTCCGCTGCTGTCCCCAACGTACTGCCGTGTCGCGTTCCTTTTCACATACCGCTCGCTTGTCATGCCTCGACACCCATGGCCGGTAGGCTAACTACTTCTCCGTACGCACATCAGTGTGTTTGCGAGCCGCGCGTGCACGATTTCCTGTAGTTGCCACAATATCCACTGATGTATTGGTCAGCTTCTTCCCACTCCATTACATAAAAACAGATGCACACAAAAAAACGTCGATCCCGACGCCCTTGCACCTGGAGCTGCTCCGTGTCGAAGAGTAAGCCCGTCTCCTCGCTTGAATCCTCGGAGTCCCCTCGTTGTCCTTGCTGCTCCTCTTCCGTCTCTTCCTCTTCTGTTTCTTCCTCGTCCTCAACGTCGTCATCTTCTCCGCCGTCTACCTCCTCAAGCCCCTCTGCCAGCGTCCCCCGCCTCCCCTCTGTATGCCCCTCTGCAGCAGCCCCTCTCGTGCCCCCTGCGCTTCGGACAGCTTCGTTCTCATACCGATCCCTGCCACTGGCGGCGGGGAGAGTACTCTCCGCGCGGTCGGCGCTACCGCTAGCGGGCATGGTATCGCCAATCGAAGTGCCCCGCCTGAACTTGCCGCTGTTGTTGCTCTTCAGCACGCTAGTGTTGCTGCCGTTGGAACCGCTCGTCGTTGATATGGTATCCGCCTCACCCGCTGCTATCAGTCTTTCCAGTGGATGGTGGGGAAAAAGGCGGGAGTGAAGATGTGCTAAACGGTGCATACAACAAAGTGGCAATGTATGTTGGGTACGCTCACACAACTCCCGGCAGCCAACTAAACGAACAGGCTACATCAGCATGGTGAGGGAGAGCCGATTCGCAGGAGATGGAGTCGGCGACACACAAGGAGGATCTGTATCACCAATACAACCAATCGCCAAGAAACCAGCAGCACTACTCGGACATTTCAAGCAGTGTCTACCATCGCCCTGCCCATGCATTCCGCACCAGAATCTGCCAAAGACCCGTGCCGACGGATCCCTTCTTGGCAATTACTCTTTCCACTTCCATCGAAGTCATTGTCAAGATCGTTGCTCCTTCTCTACAACTCTCCCCCGATGAAATACACAAGTTTGGCTGTTCTGTTTGGGCTGAAGAGGTATCGTCAATGATGCGCATCAGTGGCGGGCAAGCAGTAATGGAGTGCAGCCTTCCCGTGAGCGAACAGAGCAAATCTTGCTATGCATACCCACAGCTGTTCATCGGCATGCTCGCTTCCCTCGTTGGCGGCAACACAACCAACACGCCCTCCATCCCCCCCATTCCAATGACACCTTTCCTGTCCAATGATTCACAGGCCCTCTCCCCCAAGGGCTAGAATATTAAAAAAAAATGACGCGTTTCCCGTCATCCCATCACAGCAACATATTACAAGCATTGCGCCCACCCCCTCATCGAAATAAACGACGTGCTGCGCATCCCGGCGCATGTTTATGACTACAACCTTTACCTGTGTAGGTGGTTGCGACCGTCCCGATTGCTGCCTGGCGCAGGCTCTCCGTCGAGACGGCGCCGGTGGATAAACACCGTGGCGGGTCCTGGCACAACGAGAGGGAGGGAGGGGTACACAAGGAGATAACAGAGGCGAAAGGAGCGGGACACAGAACACATAGACCGACAGACGGAAAGTGAATTTGGTGTGGGAGAGATAACTATCGCGAGATAGATAGATGGCGAAAGAGAGAGGCGGGGGGGAGAGAAAGAGAGAAATGAAGATAGACAGGCATGGACCTAAAGGCAAGCAGGCAGGCAGGCAGGCAAGCAAGCACGACCGCGTGTGCTGTTTTAGCATCCTCAATCATGAATACACGTATGCCTGCGGTCATACATGCACCTTGGCTCGACCCTTGGGGCGGACAGACGATAGCTCCAGAAGCGACTACTGTTTTGCGTAGAGGTACAAGAACACGACCACGGAGCTGCACTACTCTGATCCAATAAACGGCGAGGGTCAAAAGGCAAAGGTCGTGCCTTGTACACCACCACGTAGCCTAGGCGGAAGTTAATACCGACGAAGGTTCGGTTCGGGGGGGACCAACATCTCTGGACTTCAGGAGGGGTGATACCTGCACGGTCGGAAGAGACTCAAGTCGGAGTAGGCGGTCAAGCAGTGCTACTGCTGCAACATAATTGCATGGCACCGTCACTCACCCCAGCTCATTTCGAAGCGCCTCTTGCTGAGGACCTCGAAAGCTGTGGAATCTAGCCCCTTCGTGAAGGTTACCACGATGGACCCTGGCTTTAGCTCCTCCGCCTGTAATCAGACAAACGGGCAAGCCGGAAATGCGCGCAGCACGCAGTTGCACGGGCACAAAGTACAACATGAAACTATACTTTCATGTTGAAAAGAGCCTGCATCTGCTTGAAATTACACTCATGTTCAAAAAAAGCTTGCGTTTTGCAGCACCGGGATTCATGTTGCCAACATATATCGCGATGGGTCAACCTCGTCAACCAGCCGTGCTAGCGACCTATCCTTGCGCTGTCCGTGCTACGAAACGGTCCTACACGACGACGTTCTGCACTCTCTTTTCAATCTTCTCCCTCCGGCAATGGCCACACCCACGAGACTCGTCGCGGTGTCCGCCTGCCCCCACACGTTCGCGAGTGCTTTTCGGGTGTCTAGGACTGGAGATAAATCAGCCTGCACTGCCTCGCGTCGCCAATGACGGTCACGGACATTCAAGTTACTCTTTCGCTGTTCTCGGATACGACACATCGTGTGTATGTGCTCTGATCCTTCCGATTTGCAACGAGGCGCCAACACCGACCACTCGTGCGGAGATGGTGCCACCGATTCAAACCGTTCTGAGTGAGAAGATAAACACTTGACCATGCCGGGATCTCTGGTACACAAGCTCCCGCCTCAGCGAAAAGGTCTCAGAAAAAATCCGGGATCTCCGATTCACACTTTCACTCGTTCGCTCGTGCACCGCCGGTTTCCTCCTTGTAGTCCAATACGCCGCTGGGCCAAAAGGATGACTGGTCAAAAAATACTTCCAGCCTCAGCTGACTGGGAAAGTGAAAGATCGGTACCACTCGCAGTGCCAACGGGAGAGACCCAACCCAAAGGGTATTCTTAAACACAACAACACGCACTTGTGCGCATGACAAACCTGCCCAAGCTCGAAGCCCTTCTGGCCGTCGCTCTTCACACAAAATATAACGAGCCCTGGTGATGCGTTTGCTGTGCTGGAACGCGGTCCGGATTCTGAGGTCTACCGCGGCGGGAATGGACAAAAGCAGCGACCAAGGGTTACACCATGTAAGATGAAACCCAAGGCCGAGCATGAGGAAAACGACTGGTTGCTCACCTGACGAGCGAGTGCATCCATGAGGTCCTCCGGAAAGCACGTGCTGTTGGCAAACACGCAGTCTCCGTCGGACCAGTCGTACTCCAAGAACGATCCGGCGAACACACTGGCGTTCTGTGTTCCAAGGCCCGCGCACAGAAACACAAACACACACATGCAGTCGCGCGCCGCCGAAGAAGCACAGAAGGGGTCTGTTGAATGCAGCAAGAAAGGCGTCATATCGCTGCCAAAAATACTTTTTTACCTTCGTACTGCGATTGCCTGCCGTCAAATATTAAAAAAAAATAGGTTCTTCACTTCGCTAGGCGTACAGCTGTCTTTCACCGAAAAATGTGGTCCTGTTGTAGCATTGCAATCCCAGCGGGTGTGTGTGGGGGGTACATTTCCTGCCCGCGTTATGGGCTCTTTACCAACAACTTGAGGGTGTGAATGCGGATGAGGATGGAACTCGGAGTATCTCAGCTAGCGATTTCCAAGGCCGCACCGCATGGATTCCGCATCGGTCTCCGTGTTGTCCAACGGGAAAAAACCATCTACGGACCCCCACAACCTGAAAAAATCGATTAAGTTGCGGCAGCAATAGACTACGTGTGATTCGCCCCCGGTCGAGAACATTTTCCAATTTAGAGATGCTGCGCCCCGCCACGGTAGATGTCAGGACCTTGCACAGACACACGTAGACGAGACCACCTACAAGCCAGCAGAGGCAGTCGACAGCAGCAGCAACGACCTGTACAAATAGCCCAAGCACCTGCGGGCACCGTCGGTCTAGAAGCCGTTTCACGTGGGCGTTGAACCGGTTCGTGACGAGCTGCGCCGCAGTGTGCAACGGCTGGAGGATCTCAATGCCGACGCAGTGAGTGAAATCTTGTGTTAGACGGGCCTAGAAGGTGGGCACGTCAAAACATCATGGAGTATCGAGCACGGTCGGAGAAGAGCAGTTGGAGTTGACTTGGCTATGCACATGTTGTGTTTATGCTCCTCCTTACCTGGACCAGTGGCCTGTGCGTGGTATTTGTAGCGCCATACCCTGAAAAGAGAACAGCATCAGTCCACCAATCAAACGCGTCCTGATCTCGCGTACCTACATGTCATCTTGGCTGCCGTTCACCCCAACTTGAACCAAACGCACAGGCTTGGTGAGTGAACAACAATTTCGTCAAAGCAACTACTACTGTAACAAACCAAGGCAAATAGGAAAAACCAACGCGTTCTCACCACATACAGCGCTTTTCCAGTACCGCTTCCTAGGTCGTAGAAAATCTCCCCAGTTTTGGACTCCGTCAATGCGCCTATCTCCCGCAGGATCGTTGCGAAGCTCGCGAAATCCACCTGCAAGAGTCGCCGCGCATCGAAATACGTCATGTTGGCGCTGTCACAGGTGTCATTTTGGTCATCATTGGCGTCATCGATGCTTGTCGGAATTGTTGAGGAAGACGTAACTCTTATGACAACCTTTTCAACACAGTAAAACTGGTGCTCGCTGCGAATATCTCTATTTTTCCGCAGACTACGTCAAATGACCACCAAATGCCCTCCTCAAACTCAGGTATACAGCGAAGATCTCTGCGAGGATGAGGTGAAGAAATATCTTCGGCGTTCCCCCTCCGAGGTCTGCAGTGGGATAGTGCCACTATCACATCTTTTGAGCTCGACAAAGTGAGCCCAATCTTCATCCACAAGTAGCATGGTTCTCAGCCAGAATACCTCGTTGTATAGCAAGCCTGAAAGTCTGCAGTCACCCGCACAAGAGTGCTTCGTAAATGTGCGTACAATTTTTCGACGCATCGGCCCGTGATTCTGTGATTTCTGCCGGCGAAGCCCGCTTACCTCTCCGTAGATGAGTGCCCTGTCGTCCATGAGGCCCTTCCTCCTCCTCTCTGCCTTGGATAGGCTCTTGCCCTCGGCGAGGGACAGCCCGACGAACAACGACTCATACAATCGCTTGCTCTCGTGGTCTGTCTCGAGGGAGTTCAACACGCAAGAGCTTCAACCATTAGCCCGGGGAACAACGATTCATACAGTCGCCAGCTCCCAGGGTCTGTCCCAAGGAAGTTTAACACGCAACACCTCCGAACCATTAGTGTTGTTGCCGAGTTTCCGTCGTCGATTCATCGCCGGTGCAAAGAAAGCGAACCCAAAAAATCTACGAACGAAGTGTGCGTTGTTGAGAGAGTCGATCCCCCCTCGCTCCACCCATGTTTTGCCGCTCGATGAATGCACAGAAGCGCCTGCTAAACAACGAGTCCAGCAGCCACCGTCTATCACGGTCTGTATGCGGCAACATGAACGCGAGACACCGAGCCTCCTCGTTTTCGTAGAATTCACTATGTTCTTCCTGACGATGCCCGGCCAATGCCTGACAGGCTCAAGGCAACAAGCTGTTCGGTTTTCCAAGAAAATCCCACGGCAACCGGTGCGGTGGCCGACAACGCATACCCACCGGGGAGAAGTTGAGAAGCCACAGCGAGGTAGGAACCCCGAAAAACATTTCACGGGTCGCAGCGATGAAAACTGCGGAGTAGGTCTGGTTTGGTGTTCACCGGGAGGTGCTTCCGTTGTCTGGTGTTCGTTTGTCACTCTGCTAGGGTAGTTGTGCCTCGCCGAGGCTCTGTGCGCAACTAGGGGTTGGAATTGTAAACTTGCATGTCGAGGTGGGATTTGTTTGGTCTATGGCTGAATCAATATTCCGAGCTTGGCACGTAGAGAACATATCCGCGCTGTTGCGAAAGCCCGTGGCCTGCTCCCAGGGGAATATGGGGTCAGGTGGGGAGTGTTTCGGACTCGACCAACGCTTCCCTCTCTTGATACTTATGTTGTTCGATGCACATCATAACAACCCTGGCACTGGTGCTAACAAAAACATCAAATTCGTGTGCATACCTACGGCAGCGGCATACAAGCAAGAGCGCGATCTGTTCTCGGGAGTTGTTCAAGCTCGACTCCGCCTCCGCACGAGATCTCAGAAAAAAAACCCTCACCGATGAGGCCGTGCAGGTCTTCGAGAAAGTTCGGGTTGGAGCCGAATCCCGCGAAGGTCTTGAGCAAGCCCTCGTCCCTCCTTAGAATAAGATCTTTTAGGAAACCCTTGCCTGAATACACCAGGGCAACGTTGATCATGTATTCGAGTCAAGGGGGGGGGAGGGGGGGGGCGGGGGGACAACATGGTTACAGCCGTTTTCGATAGTGATAATTGGCTGTGGGTATCGTGTGCGATCATGCGTGCGTCTGGACGGTTATCTCATCTGGAAAATAGTATCTATGGAATAAAGAGGACGTACTTCAATCTTCACGCGTCCGGTTGCCTGCGGAATAGAACGAATACACCCGCATCGTTGACCACCGACTGGCCGCATTTGTTGATTACTGCTTTGTCGTACTATGCATACACATTGATGATCAGCAACGTGAGACCTCAAGCTTGAAATCTGTCTCTTGTGAACTTTGTGAGCCGGTTAGGAGTTGAGCTTCGAAACCCCCAAAATCTAAGGACTTAGGCCATTCCTTACGGACACTTTTTTTTAGATATTTTCCCGCCCCGAAGGGACGACCCAAAAAGGGATCTACAAAAAAGATTACCCCCTTTTATGGTGCTGGTCGATGTTTTCCTCTTCCGAGTCATCGACAGCAAACAAGAGACCCTGCAACGGCCGTTGTCACATATGTACATAACTCTTCCACCGCTTTGGTTTTTCAGTGATATCTCCGCACAGAGTGAAGCAGCAGCAACTGTAAAGCTATCCCTCGCGAGCTGTGGGTATGGTCCGTCTTGTGTGGCGGCTGGTAGAGACCACGGGGCGATAGGAGGCACGGAAACTGAGGTGGTGAGAGTCAACAGCACGCTGAAAATATGCCGACCGCTCCAGCAACCAGATTTTTTTGCTCTTTCACCCGTGTCGCAACTTGGGTTTACCGGTACTCCCTCGTCACCCACTCAACCAACAGCGATGACAAAGGTATGCGCCACGAGCTGTGTGTATGGTCCGTCTTGTGTGGTGGATAATACAGACCAGGAGGCTATAGGGCGCTCAGAGATTGTGAGCGCAGGAGTAGCGGACAAGCGGGAAAAGTGACCCGCCGCATCTTCAAGCAGCTTTTTTTCGCTCTTTTGCCCGTGTCGCAACTTTGGTTTACCGGTACTTCCTCGCCACCCACTCAACCAACAGCGATGACAAAGGTATGCGCCACGAGCTGTGTGTACGGTTCGTCTTGTGTGATGGCTGATACAAACCAGGAGGCTATAGGACGCCCAGAAGTTGGGTTCGCAACGTTGACAGTACACGAAAAATGACCCACCGTTGCTGCGTCCAGGCTCAATCGGCTTGTTTGCCGCGTATTTGCCGCACACATCAGGTCGTCCACCTGGTCCAGCCGAATAAAAAAACAACGGCCACCGCCGGTGCTACCGACTCTGTACCAGCCACATGGCACAACTCGTGTGACCACCGCTAGGGTTTGCGAGGATCAACCATGGAGAGATTCAAGTTTGTAGGTAGGAGTCATGTGGTTGGGCCAAAAAAAGACAACCGTTGTTGACAGCCCTGACTTATCCATCCAAAACTGCCCCAGAAAAAGACAGGATGGGCTATCCAAAACGGGTTGTCTTTTTTTGTCGGCCTTTTTACCCTGAAAACAGACACCGTAAGAAGGGGTTATTTGGCAAGTTGTCTTTTTTTGAGAAGGAAAAAAGAAAAAGACAGCCCAAAAAAAAGAACCGTAGGAAATGGCCTTATGCACCATTTGTGAGTTCTCGGTTAAGAACCCCTACTCTAATTCGTAGCACAACCCTAGGAAACAAAAAAAAAAAAACTCGGCAAAAACTAGAGGTTCTTAAGTGCGGGCGCCATCAGAACGCCTCCGTCTCCATTTCTCCCTTCATCTCAGACGACCACTTTCTTCATCGTCGCCTTCGCTACTTCAAGGGTTGCGCGGTAGCGTATACAGCTGCTTCGAGGTCGCATTTGTGTTCCAGGTGAGGCGGGGATTGAATTCCGTTACTGCTGTCAGTGGTGGGAGTTTAAAATAAACAAGTGCTTCCAATCGCAGCAGCGACCACCCGTTCGAGATTAAGCCCCAATAGTTGGGAAGTCGTTACGGTATTGGAAGGCGAGAAAAGCCTGTTAAATACCGGACTTATTTCGAGCCTAGTTAGAAGCCAATACACTGACGGATAAGTACTTCGATCGAGATTTCGAGCCTAGCGCCTTCCACACGAAGAGGGTGGAAATCATACGCTTTGGGACACGGGATACATGTGTCACCCTGCCTGGTGAGTCTGCTGGCACGTGTAGCATGACATTTTTCGTCTGTTCGGCACATCGGGCAAAGTACGCTGCCTTACGTAGTACCCGGGATCGAGTACAGGGCGCGGATACGGTCAAGTACGGGCGAGAGCACAAGCGGCCGGCCGCACATTGCTTGACTTCGTAAGCTGGTACGACGCAATGCCTGCCGCCCATCTTACGTTTTACACGTATGATATAGAAGTACTGTAGCATGTACCCAAACGGAACCATATTGGAGGCGGTATGGGTTGTAGTTGAAGTATGTAGGCAAGGGTTGAAATGCCCGTCGCAACATCGGCCATTTTACGAGGCCCGAAGTGCTCTGCTGCTACTGCTGGGGCAAGTACATGAGGCAGTAACGAGATGACTCGCCACATTGGTACTGCTGAGGCTCGATATCGACCAAGAAGGTGGGCACAAGGATCTGTAGGTATACTGGTACTGAATATGACACAAGATAAGACACCCCCTGGACCAATTTAAAAAAGCTCGACTACGCCACGAAGAGGATCCATAAATGAAACGCATTTTTCGAAAGCTCCTGACGGGATAGCTTCAACGCCACCGTTTACGGCGCTGTGACTCTTTCTGCTGTTGAGAAATCGAGATTTAAAAAATCGGTCCAGGGTGTGTGTTATCTTGTGTAATTTAATGTAGTTTAAGTTTGTAGCTGGTAAAGATCGATTCAGTGCACAGCAGGACCGCAAGCCAGGGTCGCTTTTCTACCGTCTCTATTTCCCTAGTTGCAGGAGTAGTCCCGACCATGCTGTTCTCCCTCTTTTGCCACAGAAGAACAGGGAGTGCGGTGTCATCCGCCTACCCACTGGGTGTGGGCTAACATCTTGTGCAAATAGGTGCCAATGCGGTTGTCTGGGGTACTGTGCTGCTGTAGTCTACCCTCCGACAGCTGTCGAAGATACTTGGACACACTCACTATTGTGCGAGATCAAACCGTCCTTGGCCAGCAGCGATGCCAACAGCAAAAGCCTCGCCGGCTCAGAAAGCTCCATCTCAACCATGAAGCGGGACCAGATTGACACGGCGAAGTGACTGTACCCTCCCTACTGTAGCACCGCGCCCGTTGTGTTGTCTGCGGCTTGCTGCGGCTGTGCTTCGCAACACAGGGGGACCACGGAAAGTAAGAATGGGTCGCGGGGGGGGGGGGGGGGGGTAACGGCCACCCAAATTGTAAAAACCAAGCAATCAATGGAAACCCAACAATCCTAATCTAAAAAGTTAAACTCCCGTTTTTTCAATTTTTATTCCCAATGTCCCCACCCCCCCAGGGAAATTGGGAGGGTTTTTTAAAAAAAAGAATTTCGGGAAACTGGGGGGGAAAAAAAAAGGTTTGGGCCTCCTTCCGGGGGGACGGGTTTTTCCCTAAA